ACAAATCTAAACTGGCAGATAATCTTATCTCCAAAGTCATTTATTCATTAGTGCACAAAGACGTCACTTTCTGAAATGCTGCCAGCGAATAAACAGAGTGATAATCTCAAGTTATTGCTATGATTACACCTTGTGGAGAGCCGTATCTTTAAAAGAAATGCAACAGAAATAGGCAAATTACACAGTAGTCCTGCTCAAACTCATATTCCTGAGATTTCCCTGGCTACAATCTGGGACTGAATTATTCCGTATCCACAAGTGTGAGAACGTGAGTGAAATAACAGCAAGAGTCTATTAGTAGACATAATAGCTTTAGACTGTTGTTTTTTTTAAGAGGCAATTCTGCATGCAGGAAAATTCTTCCCATTCTTAACATGTGGGGATTAGATCCAATCACCCCCTAATCCAGAAAACCATCACTATGTAGCACTCCTGACTGACACTGTCATCTCTGGTATGGTTATTTTGAGAGCCAGGCCCTGCTGTGTCACTCCCTGTGCATACTCACTGTAAGAGAGAGCCCCTGTCCTGACCAGTTTATAATGAGGGACCTGGGACTCTTCAGCCTGAAAAAGAGAAGGCTGAGAGGAGACTTGTTAGCGACTTACTGCTACAGCAAGGGAGTACATCAAGGGCTCAGTGAACAACTGTTCACCAGGGCACCTGTGGGGAAAACCTGGCCATAAACTCCTGGAAGACCGTTTCAGGCTCAACATTAGGAAAAACTACTTCACAACTAACAGCTAGGGTGTCCAGACTGTGGAATAAATTCCCTCCAGAGGTGGTGCAATCGCCTACCCTGGAAATCTTCAAGAGGAGACTGGATGGTCACCTTGCTGGGGTCGCCTGGCCTGGGCTGTCTTTCCTGCCTGGTTGAGGGGGCTGGACCCAATGATCTTCTGAGGTCCCTTCCAGCCTCACGATCTATGAATCTATGAATAATCTAAGCAGGCCAGACGGAGAGCTGTAATTTAGTATTGCATTCAAGGAGGTATCACACATTTTAGAGACGGCTTAAAAATGATGACTGATGTGTGGGAGGTTGTTTGTAATTCAGTTTAACAACTGGAAATGCGACTTGTGACTGCACAAAGAAATGAAAATTGGCAACTGGGGGGCGGGGGGAGAGACCCAGAGACAAGAGTCATGGAAACGGTCTTCACCAGGATAGCGGTTCTCGAACTCCCATCTCTTTTCCCGCAGTTTCTTTGGGATAAAATTCAGGATGCAAGGGGGCACCCATAAGAGAAAGGGCAAGGGATGGAGAAGGGAGCCAGACCCCGCAGGAAGCTCCAGACAACATTAGGGAGGATTTGTCTTGCGAAAGAAAGAGCTCCGCGCAGCAGCCGAGCGGAGTGACAGTGACAGGAGCAGCCCCACCTGTTGCAGCAGAGAACTTTTTTTTCCACCCCGCTTGCTGCCTTTGGAAAGCCTCCCTAGGACTGATCCGCTGCAAGGCACGGAGCAGAGCTGGCTGCCAGGGGTCTGATCCTCAGGGGAGAGCGCTCTCCCAGCCAGCTTGGGGAAATCCCCCTGGGGGGCTGCCACGAGGGACGCAGCAGCAGAGCCTGGCACTACCCGCCCCCTGTGCCAAGAAGAGGGGTCCCTGCCCCGCAGCGGGGGCGGCTGGGCAGGGTACTCACTGCCATCATCTTGCCGGGGAGGCTGCACCGGGACCGCCCGGGGCACTGGCTGAGCCGCTCCGCTGCCTGCTCCCATCCAGGTCTCTTGCAAGCCAGATGCGATCACGTGCGGGGCGCGGGCGCCTGGGACTTGTAGTGCGGCGCGCGGGTGGGCGGACGGGCGCAGGGCAGAGCACAGCCGGGCATCCCCGGAGCCGCCCGGGCTGCAGCCGCCGGGGAAGGGCTCGAGCTCGTGCCTCTGCCGGGCCAGCCCCGCCCCGGGCAGGGATGCTCCTGCTCTCTGGGATGAGGCTGCGCTCGCTCCTTTCTTCCCAGTCCTTTTTTTAAGCTGCTCGGGCCACAATCCCAGGTTGGTGCGGTGGGTGAGACCTGCTAAACTGGGAGCATTTCATCAGCGGCGTTGAGTTGCTAGCACGCACACGTCAAATAAATCTCATGTATCAGGCATTTAGCCTTGAAGGAGGAGCTGAGGTAGGCTGGGGTTATGGGGCAACATCCTTTTCGGGTCAGCCCCAACCGCACTGCCACAAGGAGACTCTCCTAAAGAAGCCGCTGCCCAACCTGAAGCTTGGTTTTTATGTGCCAGGCCCTGTGTGCGGTGTACATTGCCCTGTAGAAAGAGCTGATTTGGGGCTGGGATAATGGGTGAAAATCCTTTTCAGGTCAGCCCACACCACGCGGCTATGTCACGGGGAGACTCTCCCCTGAAGTAAGGAACTGGGAACCAGAAATGAGGAACTGGGAATAAGGAACTGACTGCAGCCCCATCTCTCTGGAAGCCCGGGGCTTTTGTCGGGGCATTGCAAAGCAGGAGGTGAACAGGGACATCCCAGGGTTGGAGCCCAAGGGAGGTGCTGGCCTACTAGCAAAGGCCCCTAAGCAAGTGTTTAAAACAAGTGGGTGCCTCTATTCTGCAGTCCCGGGGCAGCATGGCAGGCCCTATGGAGAACCACAGTCTCAGCTCTAATGCAGAGGCCCAGCAAAAGGAGCTGTGAAAGCAGGGTGTAAAGCTTGGCTTGGGCTGTGCCAACTTACCAGGGGCCCCAAGTAAGTACAGGCTAGTCCTGGCGGTCTGCCCAACCCCTGCTTCACTGCCTTTGTTGTCCAAAAGGAGAGCTAAGGTGGGTGTGACTGTGCCACACTGCAACTAGGGTGACCACCCATCAGTAATTGGGCGGTACAGTCCCAGGATGGGATCAACAAGTCCTGGTCCCAGGCTGCATGACTTGGGGACAGCGATTCGCAGCATTGTGCAGGGATCTGGGTTTCCCTTTGCAGGCGGGCAGTGTTCCAGCCAGCAAGGGGCTGCTTGGGGCTGCCGGGAGCAGGACTCAGGGGGCACCGTGTGGACGTGCACCCTCACACATGCATGTGGCTGGGAAAGAGGTGGGCAGCATAGAAAGCAGCTCCCTGCAAGTAAGTCTACGGGGTGGGGGCAGAGAAGACATTTGGGTGTGGGGGGGCAACATATTGAGGCCCCCATGGTGAGCGAGGAAGTGGGGCAGGGCCTGGGGCTAGCGGTGCTGCCCAGCCAGGGTGGTGCATGTGGCCCTGGGGCGGGGATCAGGACAGAGCCATGGGAGGCTCTCCAAGGGGCACGGGGGAGGGTGGCTCCCCACCACTGCATGGAGAGGGGCATAGGGGGGCATGTGACCCCAAGATTTGTGAGCGGGGCAGATGCAAGCTGCCTGCTGCAGGCTCAGGGCTCCATGCCCTGCTGCCCTTCCCTCGGGGGCCTCACACTGTCATGGTGAGGTGTCCCCTGCCCGCCCGGCAGCAGCCAGGGAGGCAGAGGCATGGTGTTGTGCCCTCACTGCTGCTGGGTGGGCAGGGGCCATGCAGCAGGGCTCCCCGGGGATAGGCAGCAGGGCAGGGAGCCTGCATCTGCCCCCGTCACACTCGGCTCTGCTCTGGCCGTGACACCGGCGGCAGGGGTGGGGAGCAGGAGGAGGTGGCCGTGTGTTCCACCTTTCGATTTTAAAAAGGTGGCCACCCTAGCTGCAGTCCCTGCCCCCTGTGACTGCCCTGGGAAGGCAGCTGGTATGAGCTTCCATCGGGGCATGGGCAGATCTAGGATTTTGAAAGAGGGGGTGCCCATGGCGAGGGGCATTGTCACAGAGGACACGACACACATTTTTCTCCGGGTGAGAAGAAACTAGAAGCTTCACTCGTACCCTGGGGCTGCGGTACTCAGGTTAAGAAAAAGCAAAAACGCATGTAACTCCACTGGAACGAGCTAGAAACCATCCGCAGGCTGCAACATTCACTAGCGAGTGAGTGGTGTGAGAATGACTTTGCACTTGTGGCCAGCGCTACATTTATTGCAATATTCACTAGTAAGTGGCGTGAGAAATACTTTGCACTAGCAGCCGGGGCTACATTTATTGCACAATTCGCCAGTAAGTGGTGTGAGAAATACTGTGCACATGCGGTCGGATCTACATTTATTGCACAGTTCACTAGTGAGTGCTGTGAAATACTTTGCACATGCAGTCGGATCCACATTTATTGCACTTTACAAGTGATATGAGCAGTGCTTTGCATGTGTGGCTGAAGCTACATTTATTGCACACTTCAGTGATGAGTGATGCGAGAAATACTTTGCACAAGTGGCCAGGGCTACATTTATTGCACAATTCACTAGTAAGCAGTGTGAGAAACACTTTGCACCAGCAACCGGGGCTATATTTCTTGCACAATTCAATGACACGAGAATTGCTTTGCACGCCTAGCCGGGCTCACACGTATTACACAATTCACTAGTGAATGCTGTGAGCAAGGGCTGCATCCACACCACCATCCGCCACTCCACTGCGTGGTACGGGTCACCTGTGACAGGAGCCTCGCAGCAGGGCAGAGCCAGGGCGGGCACGTGACAACCCCCCCACCCCCACGCCTGACTGGACACCAGGCCGGGCAGCCTCCGGAAAGAGCAGGTGCTGATTGGCTGGAGCCCTCCTCCCACGCACGGGATTGGTGCAGGCCAAGGGGCGGGAGACGTCATTCACGCTCGCGGCTGCGCAGTAGCGAGGGGTGGGTTGAACTGCACATCCCGGCATCCTCGGCGGGGGAACTGCTGTCCCACAATGCCGCGCGCTGCGGGGCGGGAGGGCGGCCGGATGCAGAGCCGGGGAGGGCCCGCGGGGCCGGTAGCGCGGGGCCATGGGCGGCGGCGGCGGCG